GAGATGAGATGAGATGAGATGAGATGAGATGAGATGAGATGAGATGAGATGAGATGAGATGAGATGAGATGAGATGAGATGAGATGAGATGAGATGAGATGAGATGAGATGAGATGAGATGAGATGAGATGAGATGAGATGAGATGAGATGAGATGAGATGAGATGAGAGAGGTATGGGGTTGTGTGGTGTGACGGGACAGGACAAGATGGGATGGGAGGAGATGAGACAGGACAGGATTTGGTGGGACAAGACAGGACAGGATAAGAGGAACCCTCTTTGGCTCCCACGTTGCCCCCAGCCATACTTCTTGGAGGGTTTCCAGCAGGCACAAACTGTCACCAGGGTGACGAGGAGGAAGATGCCTCCCGTGGAGAGGATGATGTAGAGGGAGCTCCTGCCTAAGGGAGAGGAGTGAGGGGGGGACAATCCCCCCCTGAATTTTAGCTGGGAGTATCTGTGAGGGATGGCCAGCCCTGGGGGTGCGGAAGGGGGGAATGGGCGGCTTACGGTAGACAGTGATCTTCACAGGGATGCTGCGGCCATGGCTGATGGGGTTCTCCACCAGGCAGCTGTAGACGTCATCGTCAGCCATGAGGACACGGGTGATGGTGAGGATCTTCTGGTCGGGGGAGAGAAGCAGGCGGGAGTCGTTGCTCAGTGGCCGGCCGTCCTTCAGCCAGGTGTAGGTGGGCTTGGTGCCATTCTCATGCGAGCAGTTGAGGGTGAAGAACTCACTGAGCTCCAGCACTGTTGAGGAGGCCACCAGCACTTGCGGCTTCGAGATGGGGACTGCGGGCGAGCAGGGCGACTGTGATGATGCTGCCTCTTGGGGGATGGATGGGCCCAGGGGAGGGGAAGGGGGACATCAAAACCCCACTGGGGATATAGCTTGGCTGCACAGGGTGGCTGAACCCCAAAACCTGCCTCCCGGCTGGAGAAAGCCCTCCCCAAAAGTGGTCGGGGAAGACATCCCATGGAGAACCCGATCTCTGCTGGATGCCCTACTTGTGCTTACTGTCCACGGTGAGGTTGATGGTCTTCTCGCCGGTGAAGGTGTCGTCAGTGATGGACACCTCCACCTCGTAAGCGCCTTCATCAGCCAACTGCAAGGGGCTGATGAGCAACGAGCCGTTCTCCAGCACCCGGATGCGGTCGCGGTAATCGGGCCGTAGGTTGCCGATGATCTCGGTGCCGATGGACTGGACAACGGTGACGGGCTTGTCACGCTTCAGCTGCCCCTTTACC